TTTTTTTTTTTTTTTTTTTTCCACCCCTGTGCTCCTCAGATCTGCTTTCTCCCAACCTCCAAACAGCCAGACTGCTGGAAAGGGCACGTTCAGCCTTTCTGCTGAAGGATGGAGCATTTATTTCTAACTCTGTGCAGTCTTAAAATACTCGCCGGCGAGCTGCAGATGTTACCGTATAAGGAGAACTGTCGTGTGACACGTTAATGGCCTCTCAGATGTATCGGTTGCATTTTTTTTCCTCCCCGGAACACCTTGGGCTGTTGGAGTCAGTGTGTACCTTCCAGAGTTGCCTTCCCTTAATGGGAAAAGGTTGGCAAAACCCAGGCTGGATTTCAGAGCTGGGAAGTTGATGAAACACTTTCTCACTTGGACAAACAGGTTGTAGGAAAAAAAAAAAATAAAAAAAAATCTGTGAGAGGAGCCTGGGCAGGTCCCCAGCCCTCAGGGATTTGTTGCTCTTCTTGCCTGGGGCTTTGTTGCCCCTCAGTAAGGAGGTGCCTTGAAGCAGTGCTGCTAAAATCACTGGAAAGCTCTGGGTATGGCGAGGTTTGCACCAGAATTAACTTCTCAGCAGGGTACAAGTACAGGAGACCCTGGATGTTTTCCGTATTCCCCTGTGATCCTGCTCTGAATTCCTCCCGGGCTGCTGGGTGCTCTCTTGGCCATTTGGTGGGTTTGCGCAGGGTTTCCTCCTCCTGTTGCTTTACTGACCTTCCTCTCGCATCCCGTCTCGCCGCTCACCGATGCCACTTGCGTTTTTCTCTCTCAGATATGTAAAGGAACCCCCCAGCACGAGGAGATCTGCCTGGGTCTTTTCACTCTGGTCTTAACCGAACCTGCTCAGGCACAGAAGGTAAGGCACCCGTCACCAAAAGTTTCTCCACGAGGGATTTTCCTTTCCAGGCAGCCGGAGGTTGGGAGCTGTGGAAGTTTTGGGGCTCATACAGGTGTCGGAAGGTGCCTGGCTGGAACCTTCAGCACTGAGCAGTGGGTTTTGTCGCAGGGCAGTGACTTTGCTTGGACAGAGTTGGTTTTGTTTTTGGTTTTTTTTCCCTGTGGCACAGGGGCTGCAGCAGCGACTGCTCGGGGGAATGCAGGCGCTGCCACCAGGGCAGGGAGCTCGGCTGGGTTCTTTCACAGCCCTAAAATTAATTGGGTTTTGTTGTGGGAGATGAGTACTGATTCTTCAAGAAGCTGGAAGGCCTTTCCCAGTTTCAGCCTTGCCTTTGGCAGCCCAGATTTGTCTGCTGGAAGCCAGATGTAAATGTGAAATAATCACCTAGACTAGAGGAGGGACGTGTTCAATTCCCAGAGGAAATTGTTTTTTAGCAGTCCATCTCTCTTAATTTCACAGACCAGATTTAATTTTTAAATAACTCTTTCATTTTTTTAGTGACGCTGTAAACTCTGATTTTTAAAAATTGTAGTTACCTCCAGGAAGATGAGTGTTTTGTATTCTTAAAGATCTTGGATGTGGATTTGGTGCTGTCGTGACAAACTGGGGACACTCGGGGAAGGAGTTGAAAATGATGTTTGGTTTTTATTTATAGAAACCATATCTATTTGTAGCAGCTACAAGGGAAAAGCCCTGTTGGAAGGGCTGAGCGTGGCGAGCGATACCCGGGGGTCCTTGGTTGGGTGCGTTTCAGTTAACGGGCGTTACGCGGAGTCTGGAAGGGTTGAGGTGGACTCTTGGAGTCGGCAGGGTCTGCTCTTAGGGATGATCTGTAAATCCTGGTGCTGCGCTGGCCTGACGACGACTCATTCAATAATCTCTCTTGATGTAATGACTGCTGGGAGGGCAGAGCTCTCTGCACCGAAGCCGTAGATCCGCGTTCGCTCCCGGGAGTCATTGCTGCCTTGACGTTGCTGGATGGGCTGGTTCTTGTCGAGGTACAGCTCCGTTCCCCAGAAATCATCTCTTGAAAACAAAACACACTTCTCCCGGGAGTCTTCTTTCGGTGTGGGTCGGATATCTCTTCCGTTAGGCGGCCGCGGTTTGCTCTGTCTCCTCGTTGGCTTGAGGCCTTCCCAAACCCCGGCCGCACAGTCCCCAGCCCTGTTGTCCTTCAGCTCTGGCCCGATTCTGCCTCGTGCGCTGAGCACGGGACTTGTAAACCTGGAGAGACTGAGCCCAGCGGAGGCTCGGAGCGCCGCTGAACGCGTCCTTGTTTCCAAGACACTGCAGGAGCCAAAGAATTTCTAGCAGCGCTCGACGGGATGGTCTCCGAAGGGTGAACCTCCTCTGCGCCCACTAAAATGCTCCTGTCCCCTCTAGGATGTGGTGGAGCAGAGCTGGGATGTGGTGGGGAGCATCCAGACTCCCTTCGCTCAGCATCAGAATCCCAGGGCAGGTGCTTCCATTCCCTTGAAGCCAAGTTTGAGCGATTCTGAGCTTTCCATCTGCGTGGCACTCGCTGGCCATCCCGTGTGAGGGGTTGAGAGAAACCCGCCCGGCCCGTTCCCCTCTGGGGTCTCCTGGCAAGGAGGAGCCAGGGCCGAGGGGTCGGGGCGCTGCGTTGCTGCTCCTGGCCATGTGAATTAGAGGTGGCTGCTCCTCCTGCTCTTGTCAGATCTGCTCTTCGGAGCACGTTACTTTTCTTAGGGAGTAATTGGATCTGCTGCGCTCTGATGTCATCTGTTGCTGCCACCTGCCCTGCATGCAGACACAAGCCAGTCAGTGATTTTCTGCCAGGCTTTGGGGGTGAGTTACTCCTTGCCTTTGCTCCCTGCCTACGAAGAGGGGTTAACGCTTGCCTGACTGGTAAAGCATCTTGTGAGAGCTCTGAAATGATGGCGCCGAGGGCAGAGTTCTCTTCATCCTCCGGCGAGAAGCCCAGGATGCTCAGCACCACCAGCCCCACTCGTCTGCAACATCCATTCCCACGTCAGGTCACGGGGGAAGAGTCACAACCTCGAGTGGACGTCGAAGCCGACGAGGCCGGTTGTGGAAGTGGCAATGCTCTGAATCAAGAAGATTCATCCTCCCGGGACCTATTATTTTGCCAAAAATGATCCCAAAACTCTTGTAGCTGGCCGTGTTTGCATTCAGGGGTGTTTTAGAGCTGGGTGCCCTAGAAGCTGAGCAGGGGGAGCAGCGCGTGCTCCGGTCCCAGCGCACTCAGAGGCGTTTGGTGCCCTTTCCCCAGCGCCTGCAGATCCAGCTCGTCTCGCACCGTGGCCTCGCTGTCCCCCACCTGCGAGGGGGAGGTACAGGTACCCCCTCTTCCTCCTGGAGAGGCTGTTTACAACACTTCTCCCTTCCTTTTGGGGAGGGGGGCTTGAGCTGCCCCGTCCCCTCACTGCTGGATTAAAGAAGTGGTGGCACAGCCCTCCCCTTGCTGTGGCTGAGGCACGCAGGTCTCCTCCTCCCCCTTTGTTGCCTTGACACTCCAACCAGGAGAGATTAGCTGTGCTAAACTCGTCCAGCTGTGAGGAGGGACACTTGACCGCCTTCAAATATCAAAGTGACAGCGGCTGATCCGTCAGATCTCCCTCCTCCGCCTGGCACCTCTCACTTTAATTAACGCTCTGCTCCGGGATCAGAGAGCGCGCAGCCCTCCCCGCAGATGAGCCCGGCGCTTCCCTGACATCTCCTCCGGCGTCCGTCTGCCGTGTGCCTCTTCTGCCCTGGTGCTGGGCAGGAGGGGGGGGGCCCTGTCTCCTCCACCCGAGAGCTGTTTTCTTTTTATTTTTCTTCTCCCCTCATTTAAAACGAACATTTATCATTTGTTCCTTCCTGCTAATTAAATGGCCTGTGCGAGCGGTGGCTCCAATCTGCCGAGAGAGCGGGGAGGAGACGATGGATTGTTTGCAGCCTTGGCAATAATCAAGAAATTCAGGTTCTCTCCCCACCCCCCTCGCTGCTGGAGCCCTGAAGATTTTTCTCCCAACACCTTCCTCGGGATCGTTGCTCCCAGCCTTGTGCCAGAGGCTGTTAGGCCGAGGTCTAGTCTGACCCAGGCAAGCAACCAGTGGGTGATGTGCCATGCTGCCCTCACCCTGGTGAAATGGGACTTGTTCTCCTCTGGCCAGTTGTGCTTTGGGTCGAGGATCAGCAACATCGTAGGTGTGGTTTGAGTTCTGGTTTTTTGTTTTTTTTTGTTGCAGTGTTTGCTTATGGGATTTGAGGAAGTATGCAGTGAGCAAGGTGAAGAGCTGCCAAACTTCCCTAGGTAACAGGATTGCAGTGTCCTTCCTCCTGGGACTTAAATACTCAAGCAGAAGTAAATCCTGTGAGGTGTCTCTTCGGGGGGTTTGTTGCAGCTCTTCTCCCGAGGATGCTGCCAGCATCAGTCCAGCTGGTCAGGGACTAATCCACGTGGCCCGGGGTGTATCACAGGACCTCTTGGCGCCTTTAAATGTGGATGTGGACGCTGCACCTCGCACGCATCCAGCAGAAAACCAAACCCTAGGCGTTTCACTCCAAAAAAACATTAATTCTTTGAACACAGAAGAAGCTACTGACCGTCTAGAAAAGCTACTAAGATGATAAATGTTCGTCTCGTTGCTGCTCCCAAGGGTGCAGAAGTGCACCTGCCTCTGGGAGGGAAGCGCCAGGGCGGTGGGTGCTCGTCACCCTGTCGCCGAGCACAGGAGAGGGGAATCCGGGCAGGGTGGGGACCTGCCAACACCAGCGTTTCCCAAACGAAGTAAAAGCTCAGTCAGAGTCGGGGCAGGGCACAGCAGAACTGGCATCCCACATGTCCTGGGCCACCTCTGTCCCATCGGGGCGATGATCTGCGTGTTTCTTTCCCAAAGCTGACGCTGTGCAGGGAGATGTTGCACATTCCTGGCCAGGTAGAGTCCTCTGCATGGAGACTTTGAGTCTGGCTCTGCTTTGTGGGCATCCATTTAGCATTTCAAAAGCAATTAAAGGCTCCAAAGAGTCTACACCTTCTTGGATTAATTTTTTATTTGTTTGGGATTTTTTTATATATATATATTTATTTTTTTATTATTATTTTTTTTTTTTTACACAGTGCTATAGGAAAACGGGATGGAGAAAGCCTGAGCACAAGGGAGTCTGATCAAAGAGATCTTTTTGCGGCCTCATTAACTCTCTAAAGGAGGATGCAGAGACCAGACCCTGCTCTCTGGAATATCATGACATTTACTGGCACAAATTAACATTCATACGGAACCGCTTAGCAAATTACTTCCTAATCACCCTCCACCCCCTGCCGTCCTGAGCAGAGGGGAAGGGAGAGCCAGCACCTTTGCTCTCTGGCCCACGTTTTGTCTGGCTGCTGGTGGCAGACAAGTGTGGAGAAGGTCCTTCCTTTCCCTGCGATAGCTCCCTCTCCCCATAGCCCAGCCCCAGCAGATCCGCCGGTTTGGACTGCGGGCAGGATGTCTGGTTTTCGAACCCAAAACGAGCCAGCGCTGTAGCACGGTTTTGAGCCAGACTGTCTCCAAATCCAGCTCTGTCTGATCGCGGGAGTCTCGTGTGAGCAGGAGCGGGTGGCGCGGGGACGACGTGTCTCTGCTCCTGCATCTCCACAGAGCTCCCCCGCCGCCGTGTCGAACCGGCATCACGTTGTAGGGACCCCGGGTCCCGTGGGCATCTGCACAGAATCATCTTAGTGCAGTTCCAGTTGCCACTGGTGCCAGGGAGATGGGAGCAGCGTGGGGCTTAAGCGATCTGGACGTGCCTCTTTATTAACTGACCCCTCCTGAAGGACCCTTGTCTGTCTTTTCTCCCTAGAGTTGGTCTCTCCAGAGCCGTGGCTGGGATGGGGGGACGGGGCCACCCGACAGTGTCTGTTCTGCACTGAGATATCTTTGGCTCCTGGGGCTAAATCCAGCTGTCAGTTTATAACGCCCCAGAGGATTAACAGCTCTGCCTGCCTGGCCCTGGGGTGCTGATTCAGGTCACCCCACGGGAGTCTGCCTGCCTTAATGTTCTTACCCTGAGATTCGTTTATTTGCTGTTCTCCGGTCAGGTTTGATAAAACCGTTGTATGTTTTCCATTGTGGTCCTCCATCTATAACCATCTCCCGTTCTTCCCTGCCGCAGTGCTACCGGGACTTGGCACTGGTGAGCCGAGATGGCATGAACATCGTTCTCAACAAGATCAACCATATTCTCATGGAGAAATACTTGAAGCTGCAGGACACTTGTCGGACCCAGGTGAGGAGTTTTTCTCCCCAGAATCGCCCCTTTCACACCAACCAGGCAGAGGGGGTGTGAGCATGGAGGGGGTGTGTGTGTGGGGGGCTGTTGGTGGAGCTCCTTTGCTCCGTGTTAAGGGCTCGCCTCCGGAAGGGAACCGTGGTGGCATTTGCCAGAGCTGTCGTGGGGGAGGCTGTGACCAAAGCTGCCCTGACCTCTCCCTCTTCCCAGCTGGTGTGGTTGCTGCGGGAGCTGGTGAAGAGCGGGGTGCTCGGAGCGGACGGTGTCTGCATGACCTTCATGAAGCAGATCGCAGGTGGGTTGTGCCACGGGGGCGAGGGGACCATCGCTGCCCACACCCTCGCCGCCCTGCTCATGGCAGCAGGCTGGGCGCTGCCGGCGCCGTGCCAGGCCTTGGCGTCAGAGCCGGAGCCACCAACGCAGCCGGGTCCCAACAGGCCTCCCCAGTGTCTCTGTGCCCAGCTGACAGGCGCCGAGCCTGCCCCAACCTGTCTGGGGAGGAAATCTCTCCGGGGAGGATGGAGCAGGGGATAAGCCTTCAAGGGTCTGTTGCTCCTGACAGCCTCTACAAGGGGTGAATCACAGAGCCAGGAGGCTTCTGGCAAATGCTGGAACAGCCAGGAAGTGTATTAGTTCCTGTTGCTGCCAGCTTTCACCCCGCAGCGCTGCGCGAGAGCACCGGGATCATCTTGGTCCCTGCTCTGACCTCTGGGATAGCAAGAGCCGCGTGTCTGCAACTCGTCAAAGACACAGGAGGCTGCTTCACCCCTCGTAAAGTCAGTAGCTCCACCAGGCAGCTGGCGCCGGCCCTGTGGTAGCCCGTAGCGTGTCCCCCGACCCGCGGCGTGAGCACCCTGCGGCTGTACGCACACACGCACACACATGCACACGCCTTTCCGGATTCACAGGAACGGTGCCTCTTCCGTGTTCTCTGCTCCGTGCTGGCCGCTGACGTCCACCAAGGAGGAATTAATGGCCCACCGTAAAACCTGACATTGTGTTTTTTATTGTGTGCGCCCGTGACACGGGGCTGGGCAGCCCGGCTTGGAAATTGCCTTGTCTGCTCTTCAGGGGAGGAAGAATGGGGAGGGGACAGAGTCCTGAGTGCGAGCCAAGCTGCCCTGGCCCTGTTGTCACAGTGTAAACACTGTGTAAACATTTTAAAACCCACCGGTGAAGGCATCCCTTGTTTCCCCCTCGGTTGCACCTCCCCATTCAGGGCCCCTTCTGTTCTGGAAGGACGCCGCTGCCTCACTTCTCGCTGCTTTTACGATGCCTTAATTGTTATGATCCCATTGTTTTGCCTTGCCTGCTTTAGGCATTTTCCGTGCCCCTGCGAGCAGGAGTCCTGCTCTGCTCCCAGCGGTGTCAGCCAAAGGCTCCAGCTTCGTGCCGAAGGCCCACGCTGAGGGTGTGAGACACCACTTTGACACCTGGCCTTTATTTCAGAGTCTGACCGTTCTTTGCAGATGCTGTTTCCCCTTCGTAGGCTCAGCAGCTGCAAATGTTTTCTCCTTTCCAGCTACTGAATCTCAACCGTTTCTGGCTTCTCCTTTGCTTTCCAGAAGGACAATGACTGACTCCATGTTATCACAGTTGTTTTGCAACGGAGCTGTTGCACCAAAGACCCCCACGATGTCCCAACAGAAGGGTGCCTGTACCTAAAAACGTGCTATATGTAGGAAAAGACAAGCATGTGTGGCAGGCAGAGCAGGACCAAGGCAGGACTCTGTGCTCCAGATAAGGAGCAAACTCCTTAATCAGCTTTGCCAGACCAGGCTGCAGGGATCGAAGCGGTCGGTGGTTCGGTTGAATCTGGCAACGGAACCGCACCCGCTCATCCAACCGGCTTTTCTCTTCCCTGCTCAGGTGGGGATGTGACAGCGAAGAATATCTGGCTGGCTGAGAACGTCCTGGAGATCCTGACTGAGCAAAGGTAGGGCTGGTCAGGAGGTGCTGGCCAAGGCTGGGCTGAGGAGGGGGGGGACACTGCGCCTCGTCCCCCTGCCCAGGGGCCGCTTGTCCCGCCCGCCGCGGCGCTGGCGCGTTTCGGGGTGGGGTGTGAGCGGTGACAGCACGTGTGGGAGTGTGCTGATGGGTTTTCCTGTGCAGGAGACCTCAGCGTTCCCTTGCTGCGTTCCCAAGCATATTTTTCAAAGCCGTGGCAGGAATTTCTAGCTCTCGGAGCCCTCTCGCTGCAGGTTGTGCAGGGGAGCGTGTCCCGACGTCCCTCCATTTTTGGACTAGATGATCTTCAAGTTCTGTTCCAACCTCAGTGATTCTGTTAGCAAAGCTCCTCTGCGGGGTTTGGAGAGGGGCTGCACCCCCCCCTGGCACATAAGAGGCTCTACCCAGGCTGGTACCTCTCCCTGAGGCGTGTGGGAAGACCAGGGCAGGGTCAGGCTGGCTCTGAGGAAGGATTTCTGTGCAGAAGGGGCTGTTGGGCGTTGGAATGGGCTGCCCAGGGCAGGGGGGAGTCCCCGGGATCCCTGGAGGGGTTGAAGAGTCGGGCTGAGCCAGCGCTGAGGGGTCTGGGGGAGTTGGGAACGGTCAGGGGGAGGGTCATGGTTGGGCTGGAGGAGCTGCAGGGGCTTTTCCAACCCGGGTGATCCTGTGACACGGCTCTTCCCTAACGGCTGGCACCCAGGACGTGGCCAGCCCACCCCTGGGCAGCGGGGTGCCGTCACCTCGTGCGGCTGAGGAGCACGCCAGGCTCAGGAGCCGCATCCCAGGAATATTTCCTTCCCAAGTTTCCCGAGCTGTGGGGGAGGTGTTCCTTTTGGAGGTGTAGGACAGAGTTAATTGCCCAAAAAGCTTCCTGTCTTTAAACAGCTCCTGCTTCATCAGGGCTGCAACTTTAATTTGTTGTGGACAGGCCATCTGGGAAGTATTGTCCTACGGGCTCAGCATTGTCCTTTGTTGGCAGAGCAGCCGCTAACTGATGATAAGCAGAATTCCTACTGCAGCCTTTGGCTGGGCAGAGTCATTATTTTTAAATAGCCTATAGCTTTTCACCGAGCGTTGTCTATAATAGCAGCGATTCTTCTAAAATCGCTTATTACTGCGGTTAACAATCAAGTTGTTAAAGCATTTATTTGGCCGCAACCAACAGTCCCGGGGATTTTTATTCCCGGAATAGCTGGCGCCGGGTACGTGCTGCTGCGAGTGCCATCTAGTGACCCACCGTGGGTGGGAAGGAGAGACCCTCCGAGATCTTCTGGGCTTGACTGACCTTCGCTTCTTCACCCTTTTTTCCCCCCCGCTGCCTTTGTGCTAAGCTCAACTTTTCTGTTCCCAATCGTATTTAAGCTCCTACCAGCTCTTGCTGTGGTCTTCCCCTGTGCTGGTCCTACTGGCCGCTGCCATCCCACGCTCTGAAATGCTCCTCGTTTCTCCAAAGCACGTTGCACCTTCTGTCTTATAACTACCTGCAACCAGCTGGACTGTGGGGGAAAGAGCAGCTTCTTAGCGGTGATCCCGAGCCACATCTGGCTGCGGGTCTGCAGGAGGAAGCTCCAGGCGCCGAGTACCAGCTGAGCTTTGTCACTTGAGGAGAGGAGTCTGTCAGAGGGGAGCAGATGTGAGGGGAGGAGGCTCGGCCCCTGCTGAAGGTATTGCTGGAGTGTCAGCAACACCGGAGCAGCGCAGAAACTG